CCAAAAATGCATGACTAGAAACTCATAGTGTCTTTCCGAACGCTGAAGCAGTCTTTATCACATATACATCTCTCACATTTACCTGATAATAATCAAAATTTAGTTCAATCTTACAAAATATAGAGGATCCAAAAAATTGATTAAATAAATCATTAATCCTCAATAAAGCTTATTCGTAATAGTAACTTATTCAGTTCCTTATAATCGATAGACATATGCATCATATCATCCTTATTCACAGATAAAATAGGTGCTCCCCATGGGGATACACTAGAACTAACAAATCCCTTATCCACAAACTTTTGACATTGTACATTTAATTTCTAAAGTTCCTTAGGTACCATCATATATATAGACTTACATATTGGGGTCGCACACCATGGAATACATTAATACAAAACTCTATATCTTTGTCCAAAGGCAAACTATCTAATTCTTTAGGAAAGATACGTTACGCCTCGAGATCTAAAGTGGAAGAATTTCATTCATTTTCTTTTTCTTATTTCTTATCATTGATATCTTTTTTAATTCATCAACCATGATTCTATTTTTTTTTTATGAATAACCATTATTCATTCATTTACAAACATATCAATTTGATATCCAGAGCTAAATAATTGCATTAAAGATAATAAATAAATGTATGAAAAAATATAATTACATTGTTATTTCCAATATTTATATTCTACAGTGAGAGTACAAAATAATATGTATACTTATCATAAGCCCAAAATAATGCATGTATAATAGCCATCACCAATTATAAGAGAATACTTAAACTAAAGAAACTAAAATTATATTAAATTAGCATCATTGTTTATCCTCAATCTATAGACTTCTTACTCTTACCCAAAAGTATATAAAAATCACATTATAAGCATATAACCCAACAGATAACCAAAACATACAATTTCCTTCAATAAAAGATAAAAGAATCAACATGTCTGCTCCATTTTAATCTTCCAATCTCAATAGTAAAACTAATATGACTAGTAAAGCCAAAGGGATCTATCAAACTTAATAGAACGTTGATAAGAAAGAATTTTTAATGCATAACTTTTTATATATGATAGATGTCTTCAATATGAGTATTTTAATAGTAAGATTATTTAACTTCATTGGATAAAATGATAGTTTTGAATTTTTAAATATATTTCATATTTTATAAATTTTCTTGCATTTATAAATGTAAGCATTTGAGATTGCATTTCAACATTTTATATATTAATGAGTGATTAATATAAACGATATAAGATAAGTGTTACATTTGTATGTAAGCAATGAACTCTAGCTCTTAACATTATAATTAATATGGGTTGTCGCTTAAAACTTAACACCCTACATATGAGTATAGGATGACATGCTTTCATTTAAATTAAAAGTTGGTGGTATAATCCTAGTTATACCCTATAACTGATTGACTGAATTGTAATAATAGGTAGATGGTGATGACTCTTAAATGATTATCGAGAGTCACCTGTGAAAATAAATAATTTGTAGAAATAAATAAAAGATAAGATTAATAAATTATTTAAAAGATAAGATTAATGAGCCACATAGATATGATATATGACAAATAGATAGATGAAAACACCACAATAAAAGTTGGATGTGTTGCATTGCTCTTTATATGCATTTACACGATATGCTATTATTGATTGATATATCAAACTTAAGTTTTATTAGTATTAACATTCATTCATCATAGCATAATATACTAACATGACCTATTAATTGATAGTTCTTTCTTACTGATATTTTTAATAAGTTTTATTCAACAACAACAACATCATCAAACTTTTGCCCCACTATGTGGGGTCGGCTACATGAATCCTTTTTTGCCATTGTGTCGGTTAAAAGTCAAATTCTCATTTAAATATAATAATGAAAGATTATTTCTAATATTTTCTAACCAAGTCTTTTTAGGTCTACCTCTACCTTTCTTAACATAAGTCAAATCTAATAACTCAACTTTCCTAATCGGGTCGTCGGAAGGCCTCCATTTAATGTGACCAAAACATGTAAGGCGACTCTCTCTAATCTTATCTTCCACTGGAGCTGCTCCAACCTTTTCACGTATATGCTCATTTCGTATCCTATCTCTAAGGGTCAAGCCACTCATCCACCTAAGCATCCTCATATATGTAACACTTAACTTAGTATTATGCTTCTCTTTTAATGGACAAAATTCGACACCATAAAGCATTGTAGGTCTCACCACCATCTCCTAAGCATTTCCACATCTCTATTAGAATATCATGATGTCCAACAATTTTTTCACACTTCATTTTCTTCAAAGCCTCTCTAACTTTAGTTTTACTTATACGTCGATAAAAAAATATATTTCATTTAGGGTGATAAAGTCACTAAAGTTAATTGTATTTTCACATTCTTCATTAAAAGTTTAGCAAAATACATCATCCACCTTTGTTAAATATCATCTTCTAAGAAAAATACATTTTGATCTTCATTCTTAATATACTTCACTTGAACTAAATCCTTACAACTACTATCTCTTTGTTTAACTAACTTATACATATATCTTTCTCCCTCCTTAGTATCTAATATGTTATATAAATTATTAAAAGCTAAGCTCTTTGCATCATAAATAACTTTATTAGATTCCTTATGAGCCTCTTTATAGCTTTCCCAATTATCAGAATTTTTACATCTAAACTAATTTTTATAAAAATCTTTTTATTTTTTTATCTTTTCTTGTACATTTTGATTCCACCATCAACTATTTTTATTATTAGGAGTTTTTCCCTTCAAAACTCCAAACACATCTTTTGCAATATTCTTAATGCCACAAGCCACTTTTTTCCCACATAAGATTGACATCCTCATGCACATACAAAATCTTAAGATATAAAATCTTAATCTATTTTTTTTATTAATATTCTTTAAATATCCCCATCTAATCCTAGAAAATTATTTTATTTTATTTTTTATTTTTTGCACATTTATCTTAAAGTCCAAAGCGAATAATCGATGTTGGATACATAAAATTTTATTCGGAATAACTTTACAGTTTTTGCAATCTAAACGATCTAATTTTCTTATAAGAAAATAATCAAAATGTATTTTACTATATCCATTTTTATAAGTGATAAGATGCTCATCTCTTTTCTTAAATAAAGTATTAGTTATTAAAAAATCATAAACTAAAGAAAAATCTAATATAGTCTTACCACCTTTATTTGTCGTTCCAAACTCATGGCCATTATGGATGCTTTTAAAATCATCTACCTCTCTACCAATATGTCCATTAAAATCTCGTCCAATAAAAACTCTTTCTTCAAGATCTCTCTTATTTAAGTAATTGATGCCCACATCAGTTTTTTATAGTCCAGAATAATTTAGTGGACAAATAGGTGCACTTAGTTCCAATCTTCCAATTGGTGTATTGCTCTAATATCATTTGTAACAACTCAAATTCTTAATCATTGCGATATTGTCTACTTTTGGCCTGATGTCCCACGATTTTGTCCTGTTGATGTAACTTCACAAGAGTTTACCCATCCTAGGAGTGCTCATATACAAGCATGCTTAACCTAGGAGTTTCTAATAAAACTCCAACCATTATACTAAAATACATATTGATGTTTAAGAGTTTAACCTTATTTTCTTAAGGGGTTTTACACCTATCATGCTGGTGGACCCTTTGTTTTTTTTTCCTTATTGTTGATGCTTGTTTTTCTTTTCATTATTTTACAAAGTTCGAAGAGTGAATTTTAAGAAAGGTTAAGAATCTTGATTTATTTGCATAAGAACAATATACATAAATGCACATTTGCTAATAATAAGAATGATATCTTGTCTTTTCACCGCTCTAATTGCTTTGATGAAAATGATGAAAGAATTTCATGATCGACAAATATTAAGCTGCTAAAAGTTATTGTGTATGACAGTGATCTTTCTACAATGAATCTTACTATTTCTAAATATTATTTTTTTGAGTCACCAGCATAAAGTATTAACCAAATAGTGTTGATGCATCATGTTTTAGTGTTCCTAATGCAATTAAGATGATGCAATAATTATAAATCCTATAAAAATTATTTTTTCTCAAATTAAAGGCTACTAATTACACCATAAATTTCAAAAGTTTTTTATTATTATTCAGTTTATCAAGCATAATAAAATATAAAATTTTGCTTTGAATTATATATTATATATTTTTATTTCTTATATGTAGTAGTTTATAAAAAAATTTTGTTCGACCTAAAAAACGGCTAGTTTCGCATAGGGTGATCATCCAAGGTAGGGGTGTCAATATTTGACACGACACGAAAACCCGGTTCAGAATTTTCGGGTTAGACCCAACCCGTTTCCAAAAAGGGTCGGGTTTGGGTTGACCCGACTGGTTGCCGGGTCAACCTGGAAACCCGTTTGAAATGATTGCCCGGCTACTGCCCGCGCCCAACCCGCTCAGCTGCCCACACGCCCGAGGCTGCACCGCCTGTGAGGCTGCCCGCGCGTCCGCCTGCCTCGCGCATCTGCCCGTGCACTCTCCCAGCGCGGCCGCGCTCGCCACTCGCATCTGCGCCAGGTAGCTCACGCGATCATGCCCTGTGCGCCAGGCAGCCCACCTTCCCGTGTTGGGTTGCCAGCAACCTGTCGGGTCGGGTCCAGGTTCGAATTTCTGACCCGTTTACCTACCCAGGTCGGGTTAGGATCGACCCATTGTAACTCAGATCAGTTCCGGATTCGACCCGAACCCGACCCGTGACCCGAAATTGACACCCCTAATCCAAGGTGGTGATAGGGGTAGGAGGCCGCCTTCCGCAGTGGCAATGGGCATTAGAGGAGGCCGAAGGAGGGTGGTATGCAGGTAATGATAGTGAGATTAGTTTATCATAAAAAATAATTTGATAAAAACTAAATAAATTTCGTAGATGTAAAAATAAATTCAATAAAATTTATACCGAACTTTTTTTTTTTCCTACTAAATCAAACATATAAAATGTAATTTCTCCCATTCCTTACTCATTCGTTTTTCCGCAAGTAAAACAAAACTTTTATAGGCTTTTAAAGAAAATAAAGTTGTCCAAACTAGCGTCGCTCTGAGATGAGAGCCGGATTTTCTCTGGCTATGATATCCTCGCAGTCTTCACTGCTGCCCTCGATGCTACGCCCCGCCAATGGAATTGTATTATCCTCTTCTTATTCTTCCCCTGTTGGTAGGCCATGGTTGCTCCGACCGATTTCCTTTATATCCGATACAGCTGCCGGCGGACCACGAGCCGAATGTAAGCAGCTCCGGTGGCCAAGAATCATAATCGCCGCACCCTTTTTTTTTCCACTGCCCTTTCGATTTCCCTTACTCGCTGGATGCGGTCTCCGGAAATTCTGCAGTCTTCGGGCGTCTCAGGCTTCTGATTCTTCCGCATCCATTGACTCCAACACCATCCAGTCAATGGAGACTAAGGTATTTCCTTACTTATCCGGCCTTTAGTTGCTGCCTTCCATTTAAATAATCGCAGAATCAATTCACCTACTTTCACCTGTTTTTATCCTGGGGGTAATCTGCATTAGAGATTACGTTTTGTGATGTCGATTAATACTTGATAATTCAGAGTAATTGGAAAAATTGCTTATTGAGACCTAAAAATCGCTACTCCTTACGTTAGGAAGCCACAATAATTTATTACTTTGGCAAGTTTTAGGGCGGAGAAGCCACAGAAAAACTATTATCACCTATTTAGCGTGCCGTTGCAGTTCCTGAACATTCTCAATCGGAATAAGTCGATAAAAAAAAAAAAAAAAACTTATGCAGTCATAGCAATATACCCCCTTCTGCATAATAACAATGATCAAGTAATCCACTTCGTATAAAATGAGAAACGTGAAAGAAAGTGTAGGGGGCTGTTTGGCAACAACTAGAATGTAGTAAATTCTGTAAATTCGGATTTAATAAATTTTGGGTATGGTTTTTTGTGAGACTTTTGAGCAAATTAAGTCAAACTCACACACATATCACATACACAAGCTTCAAATCTAAGATCTCTTGATTGGTAGTCAAAGCTCCCAATCAACATATCAAAGTGAGTTGCATAAATCCAGGGTATGTTAAATTCTAAAAACTTTTTGGCAAGATGGCAGTTACATCATGTATTCATGTGAAACTATTTGATAATGTAATCCAAGATTTAAGGCAATTAGTTTATTTAAAAATTAAATTTATTATAGTTTTTATTAAATTTATGTGTTAAGTACGAGTTAAATACTACTGTTGTCAGGTCCTAAATCATGGATGAAAAAAGTTAGGGCTATCAAAATCGGGTTCGGGTCCAACTCCCTTCGGGTATGTTTTACTAAATTTTTTTTATTTAATTTGATTTATTTAAACCTAAATCAAATTAAGGTAAAATTTGTTTCAATCAATTTAAAATAAATCAAGCTTAATTTAATTTGGGCAATAGTGTTTATTTTTTTTAAGAAATATAATTTACTTATTTCATAACAATCTTTTAAAATCCTCCTAAATTAATTACAAACGGGTCAAATCGGGTTGATTTCTAGTTTTCGGGTCAACCCGAACCCGACCCAATTTTACAAACGGGTCGAAATCCCTAACCTGAACCCAATATTTTCGGATTGGGTTTCGGGTCAGGTCAAATATTGACACTCCTAAGAAAAGTAGAGGGTTGCATTAGACAGTCGACAGTCAGCCTAAAACTTGTCGTATAATCATGACATGAATCTTTTAATACATTGTGTTAATGTTAGGGCATTCCCTTAAAGCGACGTGCTGTATGAACTGAATATAGTGCAAGTGTGCAAGGGCCGTTGCACTAGTGCTCAGGTGCAGTGTTAAATAAGCAAGGGTCCCCATATCATGGATAAATGTGGGCAAATAAGCTACTCTATAAAATTAAAATTAGGATAAGAATTTGGAATATATGTTCCTTTACAGACAAATTAATAGAATTAATAGATATGATTAATAGGAAGATAAATATTCTATGCATTCAAGAAATTAAATGAGTTAGAGAGAAGGCTAAGGAGATAAATAGTTTAGAATTTAAATAATGATATTCTTGTAGGAGAAGTAGAAATTGTGTTAGTGTGATTATAGATCAAAATTTGAAGGATAATATTATAAAAATTAATATAATTGAAGATAAAATTATAGTTTTAAAGGTTATTGTTAATACTAAGATTATTAATATTATAAGTACTTATGCTCTTTAAGTAGGTTTCGATATGTGTTTAAAATTAAAATTTTATAACGACTTTAGTGGAATAAATACAAAAAATACCTCTTGAAGAAAGAGTTTTTATTGGAGGAGATTTAAATGTACATATCGGTAGAAAAATAGATGATTTTAAAAGCATTCATAATGACTATAGGTTTGGAGCGATTAATGAAGGCGGTAGGACCATATTAATTTTTTTTTTGCTTATGACTTTGTAATTATTAATACCTTATTTAAGAAAAAATATTGGTATCTCATCTCTTATAAAAATGGATATAATAATACTCAGATTGATTAATTTTTTATAAGAAAAATAGATCGTTTAAATTGTAAATATTATAAAATTATTCCGAGTGAAATTTTGTGTGCCCAATATTGTTTATTAGTTTTAGACTTTAAAATGAAGAGAAAGAAACTAAATAAAAAGTAAAATGTTGTTTTAGGATTAGATGAGGACATTTAAAGAATATTAACAAAAAATATTTTTGAAAGTAAGGTTATAGATATTAAGATTTTGTCTGTACATGAGGAAGCTAATATTATGTGGGAAAAAATAGCTAATGATATTAAGAATGTTGCAAAAGATGTGCTTGGAGTATCACAAGAAAAAACACTATTAATAGTAAAAATAGTTTATTGTGGAATTAAAATGTGCATGAAAAGATAAAAAATAATAAGATTTGTTATAAAAATTAATTTAGATATAAAAAATTCTAATAATTGGGAAATATATAAAGATGCCCTTAATGAGTTTAAGAAAGTAATAAGCAATGCAAATATTTTAGCTTTTATTGATTTATATAATAGATTATATATTAGGATGTTGAAATATATATACATATATATGATGTGTTAACATGCTTAGGAGATAAAGAAATTTTTTGGCTTACGAAACTTTTTAATATTATTTTGAAAGCTAAAAAGATGCCAGATAAGTAGAGAATGAGTGTGTTGATTCCTATTTTTAAGAATAAAGATGATGCACAAGATTGTGCGAATTATAAATGAATTAAGTTAATGTGCCATACTTTAAAACAATGGGAGAGAGTTATGGAGCATAGGTTGCGGTGTGATACTAATATTTCTCGAAATCTATTTAGATTCATGCCGAGTAGGCCGATTATGAAAGCTATACATTTATTGAGAGGTTTGATACAAAACTATACAGAGAATAAGGTGGATCTACATATGATATTTACTGATTTATATAAAACATATGATAAAGTTCCAAGAGAAGTGTTATGGAGAGTTCTAGAAAAGAAAGGGGTTAATAATGCTTATACTCAAGTCATTAAGGATATGTATGCATGAGCTATTACTTATGTTCAAACACAAGGTGGTTTGACCAAGTATTTTTCTATTTCAGTTGGATTAAATCAAGGATCAGCCTTAAGCCCATATCTTCTTGCTTTAGTTATGGATGTTCTCACTAGACATTTGCAAGAGGTTGTACCCTGGCATATTTATTTTGCTGATGATATTCTTCTTATTGATAAGACTATAGAGAGAGTTGAAGGTAAACTTGAATTATGAAGGTCAATCTTAGAGTCTAACGGCTTTCGTTTGAGTAGATCTAAAACTGAATATATGGAGTGTAATTTTAGTAATAATAGATATAGTAGAATGATTGTTACTTTGGACGATCAAGTCATTCATAAGAGCACACATTTTAAATATATTGGTTATATTGTTCAGAGTGATGCTGAAATAGATGGGGATATTATTAGTAGAATTCAAGTTGGATGGTTGAAGTGGAGGAATGCATCGTGCTTGTTGTGTGATATAAAAGTCCCCATCAAACATAAGGGAAAATTCTATAAGATGGTGATGAGACGTGCAATTCTTTATGGTGCAAAATTTTGGCCATTAAAAGAGAAGCTTAATATTAAGTTAAGTGTTGCAAAGATGAGGATGCTCAAGTTGATGAATGGCTTTACTCTTAGAGTTAGGATACGAAATGAGCATGTACGTGAAAAGGTTGGAGTAGCTCCTATGGAAGATAAGATTAGAGAGAGTCATCTTAGATGGTTTGTTCACATAACACTTTGGCCTTATGACAAACTTGTTAGGAAAGTAGATGTATTAGATTTGACTTATGTTAATAAAGATAGAGGTTGACCTAAAAATACTTGGTTTTAAAATATTAAAAATGACCTTTCTTTATTAGATTTAAATGAGAATTTGATTTTCAACAGGACACAATGGAGAAAAAAGATTCATGTTGCCGACCTCACATAGTGGAATATAGGTTTGATATTATTGTTGTTGTTGTGTTGTTAAGTATAAGTTACTTAGTAATTTTAATTTTAATTACCGTTAATAAGTTATAATGATAAATAATATAATTAAAAGTTAGCTTAGTTATCAAATAATTTAACTAATTATTTAATTATTAATTATAGTACTAATGATCAAATTACTTATTTAGGTGCTAATTTAATAAGTATTTGATATCTAATTAATTAGTTCATTATTTTTTGATATAACTAATTTTTTAACTAATACTCCTACTAATAATTTAATTAATTATTTAAGTGTTATTTAATTAGTTTTAATTATTAATTATCTCATTACTCACTTAAGTATTCTACAATTCATTAATTCGTTAATTATTATTTACTCTGTTCATTATATAATTAATAGTTTTTATTTTAAATTATATTATTTAAGCTAATTATATTAAATTTTAATCACTAATTATACAACTTATTATATAATTAAGCTAGTTTAAATTATTTATTTATACTACTAATTATTTAAATAATCTAATTAATTATTAATATTTTAAATTATATTAATTATCCTAAATTAGTTTTATGATTCATGTAGCCGACCCCATGTAGTGGGATAAAGGCTTGATGTTGTTGTTGTTATTGTGTTATGTTAAGAGTCAAATTCTCATTTAAATCTAATAAAGAAAGGTTATTGCTAATATCGATTAATTTGAGTAATTAATTAATTATTAATTACTTTATATTTTTAATTAATTTTAATTAAACTAATTGAATTAAATTAATTAATTCTTATGATATACTTCTCTGGCAATGCCTGCCAATTTTAAGAATTTCTCTGCTTTGTTTTGCTGTAGTTGTAGGCCTAGGGTTTGCTTTTCCTTTTCTCCAGATGCTCATAGTTGTTCGACTTCACATGTGAGGTTGAGTTTTGAACTCGCTAAAAGATTTCTTCTCCTCCTTCGATGACATTTCTTCACGTTGGATCGGAAGTCATGATAGCTCGTTGTTCTTCTGTTGGATCGGCAATAATGACGACGACAGGAGCTTGCTCGCTCCTTGCAAAGGTAACCATTTTCTCCCTTTCGCGTGCTTCTTATGCGAAATCTCATAAACCAGCCGAACACCCAGATTTATTAAATCCAGGATATACCTCAAAAAGGTGGTAACGGCGGGTTTATTCCATTGTGAGATTTATGCCGAGCTAAAATCCCGCTCAAATCCTATGTAAATCTAAACCCTAAATCCTAAACCCTAAAAGAGCTAGTCATGCATTGGTAATGCATGCCTTTTGTTGTATGCATTTTGCAAGGTGCTTTGTCTTATTGGTTGTAGCAAGCTCGTAACTCGTTTGTTTCGGGAAAATATCATTGATGGTCTTTAGTTGCCCAACACAAAATATATTCTCCAAGTATTTTTACTGATTCAGAAAGCGTCTTCGTATTGCTTTCCAATGATGCATTTGTATGCTCTCTACGAGCATTATCTTTTGTGCACTTTGCATGAAAACATTTCTAATGAGTTTTTGTCATCTTATTGTGTAGATCAAAGATCAGCTAAATGCAGACGTAGTCATTGTGAAAGATGCCTATGGTGATGGCCGGCATGTTAGGTTAGGCTGCTTTATTATATAAATTCTATGCATGCTTTTAAATTATGAGGATTAAGATTAATCTTTAATGACTTTTTTCTGTTGAGCGTCTGCATCCTTTAATGTATGCTTGTCAGTTATGAATGTTTTCACAGAACCTATATGATACTCATTTTTAATTGGAGTAAATCTACTTTTTGTTATATAATATTGCATGAGGCTGTTTTATCGGCAAGGGTACTGCTAAATGGGTGTTATATCCTTATATTTTACTTTGTGGGAATATAAATGCATGGAAGTGGGGAAGGGAAGGGAGGGTATCCCGCATTTGGCAAGGGAATTTTAAAATTTCCCCTAGCAATTATTGAATGCCATATTGGATAGTAGTAAGAAGAGGGGCTAGAATGTGTTATTGCTAGTGGATTATTGGTTTCTTCTAGTGGATAGAATGTGTTTGCTTTTATTTTATTCATTTTCATAAAAATATGATAGTATGAAAGCCAGAGTTGGCTCATTTATGGTTTGGATAATATATAAGTAGAAATATGACGCATAAAAAGTGTTGTAATATTAAGTAAATATAGAGATGATAACCATGGAATATACATTAATGAAAACGTAATAGGATCATAGTTAAGAGCTAAGAAGCCAAGATGCTAATAAATTTCAAAATTAGAGTTTTAAGAAACAAAATTTTTATTGGACATAATGATTAGTTTACCATAGACTAAGCCAATAAAATGAGTATTAGTTAGATTTGAAAGGCTACATTATTGCATTGGTTAAACCAAAAGACTATCAAGTTTGAGTGGATGAGTAACTTTGAGCTAAGTATTAACTTTTTGAAGGAATACTTGATGTTGACACATTTCCACGTCTATTGAAAGGAATAAGAGGGTTCCATGTTTACAATGACTTCTAGCTATTAAGACTCAATTGTGTTCTAATGTATGATGGTTGAGTTTGAGTTTTTGTTTTATGCTTCCTAACAACTGAATCTAATAGAATGAAATTACCCTAATGACTTGGAGTTGGCAAGGATTGTTATCGCACTCTAAGCACTACCTCTATTATCCCTTAGTGGAAATCTTCACCAACCATAAAACTTTGAAGTATCCATATAACCAAAAGGAGCTAAATCATTTACAATGATGATGCCTTGAGCCGTTGAAGGAATATGATTTGAAGTTATTGTGCTATTTAGGAAAAACAAATGTGGTTGATGACACCCTCAATAAGAAAATCACCATCAATATGTTGAGGGGACAGATTGCCAACATGGATATCAAGCCCGATTGCTTGAGCCAACTCATCAAACTGCAAGAGGATGGCCTTAAATTTGTCAAGTTGATTCAATGTGTTAGCTAGGGAACAACTAGGGGGCCTGTCGAGTAGTCATACCAATATGACTACTATCTTTATGCTGGCGGAGTGCTAGTGTTTAGAAGACTCACGTGCGTGCCCAACAACGAGAAAGTTAAGGGGAAACATACTCCGAGAAGTCTATTTTCAAGGATTCACAAGAGAGTCAACAAGATGCACAAGGCTTGAATGAAGGCTTGAAGGCACACTTTTGGTAGCTTGGATTGAAGGGCATCAAATAGTTTGCAAGTAAGTGCATGATCTGCTGGGAGGTGAAAGTAGAACGCCAAAATTGAGTGAATTAATGTAATCACCATCTATAATAATTTGGACATGAACACACTTACATGGACTTTGTGATGAGTCTACCAAGATCCTTGCTAGGAAATGATTTCATGTGGTTCATAGTAGATTGATTATTAAAAGTGCACACTTAGTACCTATTATGCATTACTGTTTATGGACTCACACAATTATATGTAGACATCATTGTACAATTTTGCAGTACACTTGAACAATTGTCTCCGCTCATGATGGGATTCTTTAACACCTATGGAAGCATGTAAAAGAAGTAATGGAAACTTGGCTCACTTTAGCATAACCTTTCATTTGTAATTATTGTCAAACTAATAAGACGATGAATTTGATCTTGGATGACCTACTTGAGTATGCATAAACGACTATGGAGGAAGTTGGTAGCAACATATACCTTTCAGTAAGTTCCCCCACAACAATAGTACATAATCAATATTGATGCGATGCCATACAAAGACTTTTATGGATGAAAGGTCTGGTCTCTTTTGTGTTGGATAGGTTTGGGGGAGCGAGCAACCTATGTTTTTGACGTGAATACCGAGAAGATAAATAAGATTCAAGATTGACTAGGTAGTGCAAGACTGGCGACACAAGTAGTATGATGCCCAAGCATAAATATGCATCTCAGAGGGTTAGTCCCATCAAGGCATTGAAATAATTCAATGGGATAAGAAATGTAGTGAAATTGTTCTATGGGATATGAAAACTCAAATCATGTTACATAAATCTATTAGAGAGATTGACTTGGGGTCAATTACCTGTCAACTTGCCTAACTATATGATAGGAAATACTTGAGTTCGCAAGTAACCCTAAGGTAATACTTGAGTTCTCAAGCAACCCTATTCCAAATTGGAGAGAAAACAACAACAAAACTGTTGTTTACAACAGTTTAACAGCCCCAACAGTGAAAAACAACAAGAAATTTAGTAGGAATCTGAAGAAAATTAAGCAAACCACTTGTATTCCACTAGTAGATGAAAGAAAACAATAACCATACAAGATTCTACAATTCAAGAGGAAGAGAACTCTCCAAAATCTCTAGCCAAGAAGACTAGCACCTAAGCCTCCAAGAAGATCTCAAAAATCAGCCCAAATTCAAGATGAAAACCTAAATCCCCCCTTTCCCCCTCTTTAACTCCAATGCCCATACAAAATCCCTAAACAATCATTCTATTCAAATTTCCCCCCCTTCCATTCAAAATTTTCCTCCAACACTTGAATTAAACCCCATCATGGGCCCCAAGGCTTTCCCCCCTCCAACACTTGAATTAAACCCCATGTGGGGCCCGCCTGAAGTAAGGACCGGTCCATGTTGGATCGGTCCAGCCGGCCCATGCGGGGCTGGCCTAACATTACTCCACTCCCAAAGACTCACGTCGTCCTCAAGGTGAAATGAAGGGAATTGATCTTTCATTCTTTCAAATGGCTCCCACGTAGCATCAAATTCGGGGAGGCCTCTCTATCTAATTAGCACTTCTTTGTTGCCCTCTTTATCTAATCTTACTCCTCCTGTAAATTCCAGTGGTTCAAAGACTACTTCCAAATCCTTAGTCAGTGTAGAAGGTAATTTTGCACTAACTGCAAGCTCCCCTAGAGCTCTCCTCAACTGAGACATAGGGAAAACTGGGTGTATGGTAGTTGATGGTGGTAGCTTCAGTCGGTACGCCACTGCCCCAATCATGTCCAAAATCTTATACGGGCCGAAGTATCGCGGTGCCAGTTTCTCGTTCCTACTCGCCACTGTCCTCTGCCTGTAAGGGCGTAGTTTTAGGAACACCTCTCCCACTTCAAACTGCATGTCCCTCCTATGTGAGTTTGCCTGCTTTTTTATGATTTGTTGTGCCCCCAGTAGATGTTTCTTCAACTCTTCCAGCACCTTGTCCATTTCCTCCAAGTACCGCTCAACTGAAGAAACTGGTGTGCTTTTTCTCCCATAGTGCACTAGGTGTGGGGGATCCCTTCCATACATCACTTTGAAAGGAGTCATCTGAGAAGCAGGTCAAAAACATAGGTTGCTCGCTTGGTCACCATCTGTTGCTCCAACAGGTACTTCAAGCTCGGTCACCAATACTCGGCCCACGGTAATCACTTCTCCCACATTTGCGGTGTTTCAGAAGAAAAACACCTCAAATAGGTCTCCAAACTTCGGTTTACCACCTTCGTTTACCTGTCGGTCTGAGGATGGTAGGTGGTACTTATTTTAAGAGTTGTGCCCTGCAACCTGAACAACTCCCTCCAAAACTGCCTGAGGAACACTTTGTCATGATCAGTTATAATAGATTCAGGGATCCCATGCAATCTAACCACCTCCTTGATAAATGATGCTGATACTAACACCGTGGTGTAGGGATGTCGTAAGAGGATGAAATGTGCATACTTACTAAGTCTATCAACCACCACCATGATGACAGTGAATCCTTCTGATCGTGATAGGTCATCAATAAAATCCATGGAAACTTCCTTCTAGACTCGATTTGGAAGTGCCAAGGGTTGTAGTAATCCTCCTGGAGCCATTGCCATGTATTTGTTTCTATGGCACACTTCACACTTTGCCACTATCTTCTTAACATCTTTATGCATCCCCTTACAGTAAAGCTCATATGCTAGCCTTCTATAGGTTTTCTACACTCCCGAGTGACCTCCAAGGCTCCAACCACACTGCCGTGGAACTCCTGTAACAAGTGAGGAATGTGTATTCATTGTATTGAGGTTTGTGGCATCACAAACCTCACCTGATACAATAGCCTCTCTCCCTCCATATAGTAACCAAGGTGGTTACCCTTGTCTTTCGTCAGATCCTCCTTGATCTTTTGCAACTCTTCATTCAACATGTTTTCTTCCTTGATGGCCCTCCAATCGACCATCAAAGGTATAGACACAACCAACTCTTGGAGCTCCCCAAAACACCGGGATAAGGCATCAATCGCTTTGTTCTCCAACCCCGGCTTGTACTGGATCTCAAAATCATAGCCTAATAGTTTGGACAACCATCTCTGATGCTCCTCGGTCACCATCTGTTGCTCCAACAGGTACTTCAAGCTCCTCTGATCCATTCGGACGATGAAATGTCTACCCAAAAGATAAGGGAGCCACTTCTGAATAGCCAAGACAATGGCCATTAACTCCCTCTTATAAACCGACTTCAATCTCACCCTTGTGGATAGCACTTGACTGAAGTATGCTATAGGTTTGTGGTTCTGCATCAACAATGCCCCCAACCCATATCCTGAAGCATTTGTCTTAACTAGAAAGACCTGACTGAAGTCCGACAGAGCTAGAACTGGAACAATAGTCATGACTTTTTTCAATCTCTCAAAAGTTTGAGTCGTAGTCTCTCCCTAAG